GGAAGTAGCATATCTTCAGCTGTACTGTGTCATTACATACACCCAACGGCACTTGAGAAACCTAGTAGAAAAGGGACAAGTTATGGGGAAAACCGAACGATTAAGGCAAAACTTTAATCTTGTGGAAGTCTACAGGAGTTCTGGTACTAGCTCCAGGAATCATGGAATTTTCTCAAAATATGAGTATTGAACTCCACCCCCCTGAGTGCTGGAAGGACACAGCCCAGTCCTGTCCAAGCAGGTATCAATTACATGTTCTGAAAGAGAATATACTTGATGCTGCTTCCATAGCCAAGTGATTTGTATTTTAATGTCCCAAGAAAGAAGATTTTGTATAAAGTATCACAGTGGGTGAGGGCTTGGATGAGACAAGCATGACAAAGCACAAACATTGTGCAGTTCACGGCAACTCACGGCAAAAGGTGGAAACAGCAAAATGCTGACCTAGGGCTGCTGTATTTTGTGTATCCTGAGCTGGCTGCTAGCAAAAGAGCTGTGAAGATATTAACCTTATAAAAAGCCCAGACAGTTTTGTACTCTCAGCTTACTGGCAATCTTTTTGGAAAAGAAATCCTCCAGGTTCCTATCAGCCACTGGAGATCCTTGCATCAAGCAAGGATCAAGCACTGTGTGCTTTCCAAAGCTGTCTTATTTCTTAGCTGGTTTCCTTTATTTTATTTGAATTTATCATGTTCCTTTTGCCTTTGCTTCAAGCACAGAAAACTTACTGTTTTCTATTAATAGCGTTGTTACTAACTGCTACCTTTTCAGAGAAATGTTGAAAGCTAAGATACGATGAGAGTTGTGCTCCTGGAGGTGATGTTGATTTCGGTGACCCAGAATAACAAACCTGTGTCATGCTTTACTCCCAGGCAAGTAGAACTAGGCAGAACTCAGAAAGTCACAGGCTGACATCTCCTCACAGAGCTACTGAGAGGCAAAAAGGGAAATGCATAAAGCAACAAACAGCACAGAAAGAGAAGTCACAGATTAAGTCATTTCCACAGGATTCATTTTATTTACACAGGGCCTGTCTAGCACTCTTGCAGGGAGTTGAATTCTGTATTTCATTTGCAATATTATAGCTTGCTAGTAAGGTGGTGGAGATATACTGCTGTCACAACATGCTGTAGCTGCTAAGAAGGTCCCAGTATGACTGAACAGAGATGAGGAAAAGGAGGAGTATTTCTCATAAAAATGAGTCCTGCATGGTATCATATCTTCCTGAGTGGATAAGATGGAAAATGGCAAGTATTCTGTGAGCCACTGGAGAAAATGCAAACAGTCCCCATAAATGGACATAATAGACTGTATTCAACACACTGCATGTGTATAAAATCATAACAATGCATTTAAAGAGCATTAGCATGATCAGATGTTGACCTGGAAGATTTGGGGGTTAAATATCACTGATGCAATGGTTTTAATTTTGTATTTTTCTTATGCAAAGCAGAAATTCAGTTCTTAATTGTTGGTGGGTCAGAGGTTGGGAGACCTCTCTCTGTAACTAAATAAAACAAACCGAGATATGACTATCTAACTATTTTAACTGCTTCAGAAAAAGGGAAGGTTGGGCAGGTAGCCACCTCCTCATTATCTTGAAAGGTGAATGTAGCTGAGAGCCATTAGCACACTGTTTATCTGCAGTCTGATGGGTAAGGTAACTGAATCTGCTGTAAATGTGCTGGACCAGAGCTCATTAGATCTCCAGTTTCGTCTCTGCCAGTGATCTCTGCCATCTCACTGTGTGACCTTGGGCGGTACATTTCATCTCAGTTTTGCACCAGAAAAACTGGGACTGAAAGTATCTGCTTCTCTGAGCGGCGTGGGGAAGGCAAGGCCCTAGGGACCCATAGGATATGGGGTGAACCTTCTGGCACAAAAGGATCTGGTGAGTGGTGTGGTATCAGGTACTGCTGATCTGCATTTTCACTGAAGAAAGCTTCAATATTTTAACTTTAGCTGGCTGGCAAAACAACAGATCCAAGTTTTGCTTGGCCTTAATAGTTTGTGGCAGAGCTAGGTTAAGTGCTAACAGGTTTCTTTACAGAGATGTAGAGGTAGCAGAGGTGAAAGCTAGCCCTGACCACTGCTGTGGAGTAGACTGACATGCCTGTTCCATCACTGGAGGCTGCAGAGCCTCCTCTTTCTTCCAGCTCCACCCAGTGACATGGCCTGGACTGAAGCCCAGTTCTAGACAGTGGAAATACACTTCCACACCACTTTAAATATGGCTCTAAAAAGCAGGTGAACTTTGCTGCTGAATTTTTAAAGACACTCTTTAATGTTTAAACAATGCTGATTTTCTAAGGGTTGTTGAACACGTGTGAAAGAGGGCTGGAAAACACCTTACCGTGACGATGCAGAAAGGGCTGGCCTGGCTGCGTGATGTTGCCTTTCTGCTACACCATGATCTTTCTCCTGTGCAGGGCTGAGTCTACCCCAGCACCTCCAAGACAGACCACAGAATTTTCTGGCCTCACTAACAACAGTGTTGCCACAAACATCCTCCACAGCTTCTTCAGAGGTCAGCTGCTTTCATAATAAGGTAGATAGGAATAACAACACCATGAACAATCCCTACAAGTTTTTTTCTGCATGTGATACATCAGCTCACTTGAATTTCTGTTGAGTTTTTCAAATTTACACCCACAGATGAGGCATCAACGTTGAGAGGAAGAGAGAGTTTGCAGCGAAAAGCCCTTGGTAATGGGAGAAGTGGAGGCTGAATGGTATCTTCAGACCAGACATGCTTCCTGGCAGAAGTTCTCCTTTCTAACTGCAGAGACTGGCAGGAGTTCCTGGGCTGGGCTGCTATGGGGTGAGAACTTCTTCCTGAGCAGCTCCCACGAGAAATTCTGAGGGCTGAATGCCAGCCCTTGAGGCAAGCACTCAGGCCTTTAGTTGGAAGGATAGCAAGAGACTTCACGGCCCTTGGGAGTGCCTGGGAAGAGCTGGCTCTGTGTCAGGGGAAAAGGTAGCCTACCAACGCTGGAAAATGCCAAGGTGACCTTCAGGTGGCAAGAGAAAACATATGTTGGAAAGGGGGAATTATAGTCAGGGCTGCCCAGCAGAGAAAGGATAAGATGTTACTCGCCCAGTTCTTGACCAGCTTTTATGACTAGAACAAAGGGAAAACTGCTGCTATTAGGCCACCATGTAGTAACGGACTAGTGTAAGTTTTGCAGCAAGAGGGTGGAAACAGTATTTTCTTTTTTCTTCTGTTCTCTCTGAGCAAATTTAACAGTGATCAAGGAATGGGAGAGAAATACCTTTTCTCTAAAAATCAAGTTGCTTTCTGAATGGGAAAGACAGCATTTATTTATAAAGTGAACATAGATGTCACAGGCCTTGAATAACTTTGTGGCTGCCTGACTGTTCTGCGGAGGCCTCTAGGAAAAGCTGCCTGCTCTGACTCTGCAGGCTGCAGCCTTGAGTGCTTTGACATTTGATGGCTCTGTGGGTTCGTTGCTTACAGAGCAGGTCTCCTCGGTTTGAGATAGCAAAACATTTCAGGAAATATTGCTGATCAGAAATAGGACCACAGCTTCCTCAAATGGCCACCCAGATAAAAGGATGCTCTACAGCTAGAAGTGATAAGGAGACAGGAAAAGAAAAAGCAACAGTAAATGCAAGTGAGATGTTTTTCAATAACATCATGCAAAGTGGCAGCTGGTCCCTAGGGAGATCTTGAAAGTAGGTTTTGAAGGTGCAAAACATTCCCAGGATGGTCTCCCACATCCCTCTCCTCCACCACTTCTTGGTGCCACATGCTCCTCCTGCCGCAGGACCACGCGCCTGTGCAGCCGCTGTCTCTTCCACCCCGAAGTGGTTGCAGCATGGGCATCTTTTCCTCCAGTAGAGCCATGTGCTCAAGGCCCCTCACCAGATGGTGACAACTACCTGCTACAGCCTCATGGTTCGATGAACAGAGCCCATTCTCACCATTTGCTCTGAAGCACAGGGCAGGTGGATCTCCCCCAAGGTTTGTGAAACAACATACAGATTTTCAAAGATGCAAGGAGCAAAAAAGGCTGAGAGGTGAGTTAGTGCACCCCAGCGTCCTCCTCAACATCGCTTAGCTGGATGATCACCTCTTATCTTGTTGGGCAAATTCGTTACAGGAACATTTCCTTTAAGTGTGAGTTTGTAGCTGTGTAGTAAGTCACGTAATAAATCAAACCTCCACGCAATGTGAGGACGGGAGTTTAATGACTGAGGCGAGAGGCATCTCAGCGTGGCAGCTCGTGAAGGCCTGGTCCGGCCTGTGGCGAGCAGGGTCGAGTCGTTTGGGAGCTGTGGCTCTGCCTCCTCCAGCCCAGACCCGCGGCCGGTTCCTCCTCCTCAAGGGCTGGTGCCAGTCTGGGACGCTCAGCCACGGGCTCCTCTCCACACCCCCGCTCTTAGGGCAGGTGAGGCTCAAATGAAAGCTGCCTCCACGTCCGGAGTTACCGCGGCCCGGCCTGCAGTGCCAGGCCCCCAGCAGCCGCCTAACGGGCACGGAGCGGCAAACCCTGTGGTAAAACCCTGCGGGCAAATCCCCG